GGTTGAGCCTTAACCCCTATAAGATGCTGCATACAAATCTATTTGTAGTATATCTTCCTTTGGCAACTTAAATTTCTTCTTTTAAAGAATTCTTATGAATCAAAAGAAAAAAGATAAATAATGGGGAGAACTTAGGAAAAGGACAGTAAAAACTCTCAAAACAGAAAAAAAAATCCAAAATATGTTCAGAACATGATACCCTAGTAAATAGAAATAATAAGGTAACCTTTTCCCCTACCCCCATTATATGTGCAAGGTTTGAGGGAGCTGGGGGGTTGGTTGTACTAGGTTTGATTGCTGTTCTTGATTAGCTTTTCAAAAACCAGTTTGTCAATTTTCAGCCAAAGCTGGAAAATGTATATATCCATTTCAAGCTAATCTGTGTGGACTATCTAGGTTCAGCCACTGCACAGTGCAGAGTGTATAGACTCCACCCCACATAGACGATAGCCTGGTATCATACAGGAGGGGCTGCTATGGTAACACGCACTATATTTTCTTTTCTTTTTTCTTTTCTTCTTTCCCTTTTTTTATTAAACAATTGACAGTACTTAGCAAGTAGATTGGAGGAGGTGAGTGTGAGTAACGGAGGATTTTTTTCAAAGTTAATCACTAAAAGCTGCCAAGGTCCTTTATCAGAACTAACACAATTTAAATTACTAACCAATTCCCAGTGCAACAGATGGAACATAAACAAATTTCTCTGAGGATGCGAGGAGACTGGATTAGAAGTGGTCCCCAAATGACCTGAAACACAGGGTCAGGGCACAGGCTGCAATCTAGAAGGGCACATTCTTTGGACCCTCCAGTTTAGGCCCATACTTGCAATCTTGAAACAATGCCCGACTCTCCCAGGCTTCGCATTCCAGCTCCCGCTCACATTACCCCCTTCAGTGCCTGATTTACAGGGCTTGCTTTTAACATGCAGATTTGTTTCAAGGTTTTATTGTTAGCATTTAAGTCATTAGAACGGTAGCCTCTGTGGATTTGCAAAAATCATGGACATATTCTGAGCATCAGTCTGCATAGGTCCCAGCTCGAATTCTGAGCACTAAGCTTCCGTTCCTTCCTCATCAGTTTGCAGAGGCGGCGTTCTATGACAACATACAGCCAGCCCTTCTCTGCCCACCCCTAAGAACATTTTTTTTCTTCCTGCCTCCTTTCTTTTGTATTTAGAGTTGATTTAAATAGTGCTGATTGCAAGTGAGGGCTGGGGGCGGGGGGCAAGAGGGGCGTGGAGGGGGAGATGTGTGTTTAATGAACATTAAGATGTTTTAAATCAAAGAATTATAAAGACATATGAGTGAGTATATACAACCTTCTCTAAGAACGCAGCTCTGACAGATGCTAAGCAAGATTTTCACTACATGAAAGAAAAACATGAATCTAACAGTTAGAGAAGCAGTTGTAATTGGCAGGTGTTGGGTTTTCAATGGAGACAAAAGACTGTACATTTTAGACCCTACTCTTTTCCTGGAGGCTAATTGAACGTTTGCTTCATTGTCAAACTCCACATGGTGGGGAGCATCTATCCAAGTTATTCTCTAAACTGTCAAAACAGAGTTTCCATCATTGCTGGCCTGAGCAAGCTCTGACCTGGGTAGAAAATGCCACACAGAATTCAAATGCCACTTCTGTCTTTTGACTGACCCGTGTCTTCCCCTTTTCCTCCCACCGAGGAGATGGTTCACTGTGGTCTAGTTTGGAATATTCCATGAAGCACACTGACAATGTATCAGATTGGTCATGGTATGAACAATTTTCATGGGTAGAAATACAAAGGCCTGTGTTAAATGAGAGCCTTTATGGAAGCTTTGAACAGTAGTAAATTCTGATGAAAGCCTCTCACCCCTGCCGACCATCTTAATCTTTTTCAGGCACACACTGGGTAGTTTACAGGGGAAGCAGCAGTCCTCTGAGGAAGGGAGGCAAGGAAGGAACAAAACCGGTTGTCTGTCATTCAAGCTGAGAGAAACCGTTTAGCAAACAGTCCCAGGACATAAACCAAATGAAAACTTCTTTTCCTAATTGGCCTGATGGCATGCTATGTGAGTTTACCAAACTTGCTCTTCATGCTGTCTGTACGCACAACCAAAGCGGCCGACTGTTGGGTATTGTGATTTATTTCCTTCTGTAACCCAAAGCCACATGCTGCCTCGTATATGATGGAAGATAATATGACTCCTTTGAAGATGAGAGGAATGGGGGAGGGGAAGATAAATCCTGGTGGTATTAAAACAGAGGGCAAAGAACTGGTCTCTGCAAGGCTTTCCTGATAGCAGAACCCAGGAAATCTATAACCCTGCCTGGAATGGCATAAGGTGGCCAGGACGGTTGTGAAATACTTCTTTGGTGGGAGCTCGGAGCTGACAAGCCATATAAAGAAGTGTTGCGAATTAGAAGCTTATTTCTTGTCAACATAGCAGGGGTGGTCCTTTCCCTGCCTAACAATGTGGGGGTGACGGGGCCGTGACAGAAGAAGCAACAGGAAGGCCAGCTTCCAAAGCAGAGGAGAAAAGCAGCTGAAATAACCTTATTGGGATCTTACCTCCAGTTGACCACAGCCTCCTCCAGGGGACAAGAAGGGGCTGGGAGGCTGCTAAGGAATGGAACAGAATGTGCTAGAAGCTTTGGAGTCAGACAGACTCATGTTGGAACTCCTTCTCTTACACTGTAAATGTATGTGTCCGAGGCAATTTTCTAGCCTTCCTGCTTTCCATCTACCTGGGTTCACAGGACAGAATAATACAGACATTATTGTCTACAGACAAATTTGGGGAGCACCCCTTTCAGTCTGGCTCCAAGGCTTGAATGGAAAACAAGCTTGCAGGCACAGTACAGCCCTGCTCACCCTCAGCCCTGCTCACCCTCAGCCCTGCTCATCGGCCCGTCGGTTCTGCTTTGTGCTGTAGGGAAATTTTATCTTAACAGGCGTTTTTCTACCATTTCTGCCTTCTGTGTTAGCAAGTGGACAGGATATCTGAAAATTTGCCACTTTGATATCACTGTCTCGTTTTTCAAAATTAAAAAGATTTACAAATTATCTTTATTAATTTGCCTTGTGTGCCACCATGTGTTGGGGAGGGGTCGCTTTTATTCACTTTTATTCTCCAGGCCTGTAACCTCCATGTCCTACAGAAGAAACCAAAACCCCGGGAAATGTGACATGCACTGTACCAGCCTGGGTCTTCCTCAGGAACCCTGAGCTGTTCGAATTGCTGTTACACACACACACACACACACACACACACGCACACGCACACGCACACGCACATGCACACACACCAGACAGACACTTCCAAACATTTCCTGAAGTTTTGACAATGTCTCTCACACATTGCACTGCTTTCTGATATGACTTTCTCTGCGCTTAGAGACACTGAGGAAAAATTATTATTTGCGAAAGTGAAGCGAGCAAATGGTTATTGTGGAATGACCCTCCCAGTGTTCAATTCCAGGAGAGATAAATAGAGATGGAGCAATAATCAGTCTTTTGAATAATTCTCTGCCTGCTCGAGGCTTCCTTCATTACCAGCCATAAATGTCACCTACTCCGCTCATCTCATCTGTGGCCTGGGAAGACACTGCCACGAATTAGGAATTTCTTAGTTCTCAAGCTGTCTTGGCCATCCACTTACTGTGTAGCCCTGAACAAGTAAGTCATTTAGTGAGTCTCTCCACAGTAAACACACAGTGAGAATTCTTCAGTGTACGTGTGTGTGTGTGTGTGTGTGTGTGTGTGTGTGTGTGGTCTGTGTGTGTCTGTGTGCTTGTGAATGTGCACTGTGTGTTGAGCTCAGAGCAGCCTCAGGTGTCATCCTGAGGAACACCATCTACCTCCTTTGAGAGAAGGTCTCTCATTGGCCTAAAGCTCAACAGTTAGGCTCTATTGGCTGACCAGGAAGCCTCAGGGACCCTCCTGTTTGCTTCCCCAGTGCTGGGTGACAAGCCCACACCATAGCACCAACATTTTATATGTGATGGGGATCGAACTCAGGTCCTCGTGCTTATGAGGAAAATACTTTATCAATACCACCCCCACCTAAGAGTAAGGCTCTTTCCTTGCCCCATGAATATGACTCTATTTACACTCACACAGGTTCTCATTTTCAAAGGGGACATGAAGTTACACGATCATGCCACATTATTAGAAGACTAACTCTACAGGGTGCATCATCAAAACATCAAGCTGGAAATGCAGAGGCAAGTCAAACAAACTCCCTAGCATATGCCCCCTGAAGACAGAGGTTGATAACCGGCATGTTAACAAATGGGGCTATGAGCGTAAGGTTTCAACTGGAACTGATGTCCACAGGAATTTACATTTCTCCACTAAAACAAAGCTCTGGCAAGACACCTCTTTAAGGGAGCCCCAGGAATACAGCCTTACATCCTGGGCCAGGAATGGAGTCTCTATTATATCATAATCATGCTCATGGTTCACTTACCAGACTGAGTTATAGTGACTTACTGTGTCCCTGTAGATAGATTCCAGAAGAAGAGTTCTCTAAGGCAGAAAGTATGCCATGTTCATCTTTCTAAACCCACTACCGATGCACAGTGGTTTTATAACATGAAGCTTCCTGAGCTACACTCGAAGGGAACAGCTAGTTGACTTCAGGGAGAGCTGTCCAATTCTAGTTTCCTGGCCGATGGAAAAGTGATATTTTCCTCAACTGACACAAAGTACTCACATGACCTGAGAAAATTTTTTTGAATAATATTTCAGCATTTTCTAGCTTCACTTGTCATCCCTGAGGGCTCATTTAGATGGTAGTTGACATACATTCCTGCTCTGTTGATGCAGACACATACATGCTAGTACATACACTTGCTCACTCATAGTTACATCTAAACACACACACACACACACACACACACACACACACACACACACACACACACACTTCTATATCCAGAAAACATAAATAAAATACTGAAAATAATTACAGCATTGTAGGTATATGTTGATTAAGAAAAATTAATTTACCTTTCTTTAATAAGCATTGTACAAATTTTAACCCACAAAACTCCCTTAAAAATAGTGAGTACAAATTAATACAGCCATACAAAAATTCCTGACTACTGAGAGAAGTGACCCTAAATATTGGGAAAGGGTCTTTTTTCCTTGGAAAGATGCGATTTCTACCATACATTATCTTCTGGATGTGTTGAAACTGTTTGCCATAGAAATTTGAACATAAATAACCTAAGGATTCTCAAGAATTTCCACATTTGTTTACTATAAACATTTATCTTTGGTTGGTAGATACGTCCAAGATAATACAGCAAATTTACTTTTTGTGACAAGAATCCAAATACAGCAAAGACCAAACAAACTTAGGAAATAAATGCAGGAAATATACCATTCATTTTCATGTGCCTGATACACAGCATTTTAAAAATCCTAGTATGTACTTTATTGTAGTCTCATGTTTTAACAAAACATGGTACTTGTTTATGTTTTGTGTGAGCCATAGCACAAAACAGGTCTCTTCCCAAATAGGCCTTCTTTGTCCTTATCAAAACAGGAAGGAGAATTCCACTGATTGGTCACCCCCACGGTAATTCTCCTTGAATCTGTGTCATTGGAATAAAGTCAAGAGCAGTGAGGGTGAAGGACTCCAGACAGAGGGTCTGGGGCATGTCTCCTGAGTCAGGAAAACACAGCTGTTTACTAGCCATGCATCCTTGAGTTAGGACACACACATCTCTGGGTCTTATTTCCACTCTTGCCAATGGAAATACCCCTTAGAAAAATAACCAGTAGACCTGAAACTCACCCTGGCCAAACTATTAAAAAAAAAAGAGAGAGAAAGAGAGATGGGACAGCCCTGGTCAGCATCACCTATGGGGAAGACATTCATTTGCCATAACTTCCAACTGAACTGGTCACAAGAAATTTCACCATCCTCATTACTGGAGTCTAGGGTGCTATTCCAGTTCTTCCCCAAGGATCATCAGGACTTTCTGCCCAAGGGTTGATGTTTCACAAAAGAGCAATGAGATACAGTGACCAAAGGAGAAGAGACTAGGATGGAGGGTGGCAGAGCATTGCCCAGAGGACCACTTTCTATTAGTGTCAGTCTTCAAGAATCTGTGCTTTTTAAATTGTACAGACAATTTCAGATGAAAGATAACTGCATATACCTAGACAGTCTTCTGGCTAATGTTTGGGGAACTGGCTGGACAGAACAAAAGGGGGTCTGGAGCTTCCCCGCCCTTTCTAGGTAGCTGCACAGTATGGTACTCAGTCTCCTGAAGGTGTCCTGGATGGGCTGGAACCTGTGGCTTGGGGAAGAATGGCCCAGAGGAGCATTCTAATATGACTGAGCAGGAAACAGTCAAATCAATCCTTTTCATTAGCTCTGCGTGTGAGGTCCCATGGAATAATGAAGCATGGTGTCCTGATTTGCTTTCCGTTGCTGTGAAAAAAAAAAAAAAAAAAAAAACAATAACCAAATGTGACATGGGAAGGAAAGGAAAGGGTTTATTTGTCTTATATGTCCTGATTACAGTCTTTCATGAAGGGACACATAGGCTGGAACGCAAGGCAGAGGCCATGGAAGAACACTGCATACTGGCTTGCTCTCCACGGCTTGCTCAGTTTGCTTTTTTATGCCTCCCAGGACCACCAGCCCAAAGATGATACTGTTCACAGTAGGCTAGGCTCTCCCATATCAGTCATTAATCAAGAAAATGCCCTACAGAGACTTGCCTACATGAAATTTGACATAAATCTAACCAAGACACATAGCAGAGGACATATCAATCAGAAAGTACAGAGGAGGTAAGAAACAAGGCCTATGAGATAAGTTCACACCACGGCAGGTATGAGAAACAGAGGCTGCAATGGAGTCAACCAAGGAGTCTTCTCATATAAAATGTACCATAGCCATCGTCTACCAATGGTTTATGTCCATCCAGTTCCTGTAGGGGACAGAAGTGCTGACACTCAAGACTGGGGATCTGCAGTTATGGATCTGTTTGCTTAATGAAAAATACAACACAGCCCATAAATAGTGACAATAATAAATGATACATAAACTGCAAATTATTTTTATCTTCTCAGAAGAGAAACTGCTCTTATTTTTTCCTTTTAATAATTCATGCTTTTAACATGTGTCCACTCTATTTACATTTCTAAGCTCAATAATTCCCCAACTTATTTACAAATTAATGCTCCCAAAATATAATGGTCACAAAGTCAAAAATAATATGAAATTTCTAGGTACCAGAATGTTTCATATTTCTTATTTGCAAATCTTGAACAAATGAATAAAGTCCTTAACTCCCTCCATAATGACATTGAATTATCAGTACTTGGCCACGAGACCACTCAAATCACTAATCACCACCCCCTGTGCTTAAACACCAGTGAAGCCTCCTCTAAAACCTCAGCTATGAATAGAAAACGTGAAGTGGACTTTCGTTATTTAAGAGGTTATGGTGGTAAGGATCCATTTTCAATATCTGGAATTTATGCAACCAACACACTGGACATCATTTCTATGGGAATGGTGTGTGGGGATCCCCCCCCCCAGTAACTGCTGAGAAGTGTGAGGTTCTCTCAGTTCTTTTTCCACTGATATGCAAGGGGACCCTGTATGCCCTAAGAAGTCCTCCAGTGTTCTCTGTCTGCTTCATCTCACATGGTAGCACACTGCGGTCTTCAGACATGAGTTTTTTTCCAAACAAGACTCAAGATTTTGTGTGTGTGTGTGTGTGTGTGTGTGTGTGTGTGTGTGTGTGTGTGTGTGTGTATGCATGTGCACTTTTGAAGGCTAGTGTAGGATTCCAGTTGTCTTCTTCTCTGCTCTCCATCTCATTGCTTTGAGACAGGGTCTCTCACTGAACAAGACGCCCTCTATTCCAGCAAAGCCAGCTAGCCAGAAAACTCAGAATTATCCTGTCTCTGTCCCCAGTGGCAGGGATTCTTACAGGTTTGTACTTCATCACTGTATACTGCTTTTGTTTCTTTTCCAATAAAATTAAAATTTTGATAAAAAATAATTAATCCTTAAGAAATACCTGAAAGTCTAACGTTAAATTGGATATTGAAATGTGACTATTACATAGTTAATTGGGAATGGAGAACATGGTTCAGTTGATCCTAGCCCTTTATTATGGAAGATAAGCTAAGAGTTTTTTACATTTACAAAGAATGGCAGAAGAAAGGGGTCAAGGAAAACGATAAGGCATATGGGAGGCAAAAAAGAGAGAAAGGGGAGAGAAACATGGGAGGGAAAGGAGAGGAGGAAGTGAGGACACAGGAACCAGGGACAGAGAAGATACACAAGTGGTCTGAAAGGTGTGAAATGTTTTTAAAGGAGAACCTGTTGGTGCCTTGTGTTGGAAAGTCGGCTGCCCTAACTCACAGATGCCCTGTTATTTTAGAAAAATTAGGTCAAACACACAAAGAAAGGCCTAGAAGAAAAATATGGCTAAACCACCCTTGATTCAAAGGAAATTTTGACAAAAGCATTTTCTAAATATTTTCTCCAGTACAGCAAACATTGTTCTTTGCTTACAACATAGATTCACCTTCAATTTGAGTCATACTGAGGCATCTACATTTGTGGGGAGGGGTCAAGTCTCAGTTGGTAGTTTAGATGGCTGAGTGGAGACCATTTCCTCCTTTTGCCTTTAAAAATGTGACAGAGCCAACATGGGGCAGTTGCTGCAGGACACATGACAACAGCTTGCTGTTGTGTCCGGGGTATTTTTGCCTCTGGACCTTTGGTAGAAGTTGTCGTACCCCAAGTGACTACAGTTAAACTGTAATCCACAGCCAGGCTAGAAAGTTGGCAGAATAGAAAAATTAAAAATAGTCAACTATCAATCTACCTGTCTGGAGAATTGGAATGTACCATAATGCAATTCCTTCTTGTCACATCAGTATTAGGAATTGCCTTTGCTGCTCTTTAATCCCAAAGCATTAGGATACACCTCACGTAGGAGATAGCATACAGAGACATCTTCATAGCTGCCTCTGCCAGTGATCAACAGGAGATGCAATTACAGCGAATGCTGGTCTTGTCCTGTTGGAAGGGAGCCACCTGTTTCCTGATCCATGCACTCAAATGTATCCCTGTGCAACCTGGCTAAACACATCTCTGGATGAACCTGTATAGAGTGTTGGTGAGCACTGTCGTTAGGACAGCAGACGAGGTCTTTCTAACCATTAGTAAGCAATTTTAATTGTGTTTTGAAAAAAAATTATTTGGGCTGAGTCAGTCAAATGGGTTGCTATTCTGAAATGAATTTTACTCCATCATATGTGTATTCTTTGACCCTCAGACAATAAGATGACAATCAAATCCTGACAAACACTCAGTTACAGAGTCACCTCAAGAATCAACAAGGAACTTTCCCAGAGGACCAAGCATGTCTAAAACTCATGGCACTCACCTGGGCCCTCCTATACAGCATCTCTCACTTTCTCCTGCCCCGCACACCCTGGTCTGTGTACCACCACCCTAGCAAAAAGTTACAATAGTTTATTCTAAATGTCTTGGCTTTTACAACCCAAATTGAAGCCTTTAGTGGCCCTTGGAAATTCCTTCTGTGGCTTACTTTTATAGATAACACATTTCCCACCCCCACCCCTTTCTACCGGCTCCTTCAGAAATTTGGTTGAGGGAAACCACACAGAATTCTGAAATCTGTAGGCCAGGCACCCACATCACAGTGACTTGGATCACCACAGCGGTGGCTTCTGGCAGGTCCTCAAAGTCTGATCTTTCTCTATTATCATTCCCAACAGGAAATTTGACTCCGGTGAATATATATATATATTTTCAGTAGCTTTAACTTATAACCCATTAATTACTTTTGGTTTTATTTATTGTGCTTCTGGTATTTCTCTTAAATTTAAAACTCTCCAAGAGTCTTTCAATTTTAATATTATACTATTATTTATGGCAGTTGTTAGAGGGCACTGGACGGAAGAGGGAGGGGATTTTTCACAAAAATTCCCATGATTATTCTTTCCCAGCTCACCCAAGTTATCGACTCTCTTCATGTTGTGTACTGCATCTTAATTTCAGAAGAGAGCATGGTCTTGCCTCTCAAAGCAATGATAGACAGGCTAATTCACTCATGTGCTCACTTGTTCATTATCCCATTTCTGCTGGTCTAAAAGGAACCGGGAACCAGACATTTGCAAAGGCCCTGGGGAATTTGGTGAGGAGAAAGACACACCTCTTCCTTGTCTTTGTGCCACTCACATTCTCATGGAAGGGCCAGACCTATAGGAAGAATGAAAAGAACAGAAAGGAATGAATAAATGAGTGGATGAGTAAATCTGGATTCAAGTTCTGACTAAGTACTCTACAGAAAATGGCTCAGTTATCCTTTAGATGGGGTTGCTAGGGGAAGCTTCTTTGGGCAGGTGAGCTGTGAAGACAAGGAGAGCCAGCTGCATGAGCTCTGGAGTTAAGTCCATTGAGAAGAACCTGCTCCAGAAAGCACTGTCAGCCTCTGTCCTAAAATACTGTCCAGCGATATCTATGCTGGAAAAGAGTTCCACGAAGGCCCAAGGATGAGGAGCCCCACCTGCTTCTGAGCAATGTGGACCAGACGATATACACCCGAGTTCGCTGGCCCGCCCAGGGCACCAAAGGCCTCAGCTCTTCCCATCTTCTAGGGAGCTCACACTGCTGAAGATCTGTGAGCCCTCAGGAGAATGCCTCCAGCAAATGGCCAGAGACCCTGAGCAGCATCACCTCACCATGCTCCATGGTCTACACTGACTACAACAACTCGATGCTTTTCCTTGGTCACCTTGATTGGATTTCGGGTTCCTGAGAGATTGGAGCTGCACACCTTTGGTGCGTCTTTGAGAACATTTATAGAGAGTATTAACTGAGGGGACAGGCTCTTCCCCCTCAATGTGGTAGCATCATCTGACGGCCTGGGGCCCAGAAGGAAGAAGGAGAAAGCTGAGTGCATATATTCACTCTCTCTCCCTGCTTTCTATACAACATGGAGGTCCTCCACCACACAGGGGCCATGCAACCAGGGGACCCTGAGACCATGAGCAAAAATGGATCCTTATTCCCTTCAGATGCTTTTGTCCCACGTTTTATCACAACAGTGAGTGTGATAACTGATCCCACCCCTATAACACGTGAAGACAGGACATTTGCTCTTAACCCTCTCTAATAAGCTGGACAGCCAATGCCTGGATGATATGTACACATTCTAACCACAAAACCTGTAAACGTGACTCAGTTTGGGAAAGGGGTTGTTACAGATGTGACTGGGGTCATAACCTCACACTGAAGGAGGTCAGACCAATGACAAGTCGGTTTCACAGAAGGGAAAGGGAAGCAGACACGGACACACAGGAACGGCAGCCTGTGACAAGGAAGACAGCGACCAGGACTGTGATGCTGCAGCCCAGAGAAGTCCAGGTGCTTCTAGGAAGTGGAGGAGGAAAAAAAAACTTGCTCTCCAGCCTTTGTGGGAAAGGCTTCCAGAATTATGAGAAAACGAACTTCTGTGTTCTGTGAGATTTGTTGTTGTTTATATTCTCTGTCTGTCTGTCTGTCTGTCTGTCTGTCTGTCTCTCTCTCTCTCTCTGTGTGTGTGTGTGTGTGTGTGTGTGTGTGTGTGTGTGTGTGTGTGTGTGTGTGATTTCTTGCCAGAGGAAAGTCTTGGGTGTCACTTCTTAGATTCTGTTCAACTTTTAAATTTTAATTAATTAATTTAAATAAAACCAGGGCCTCTCACGAAGCCTAGAACTTGTCAAGTATGCTAGGTTGGTGTTCTAGTGGGTTACTATTGCTGTGATGAAACTTCATGACCCAAGCAACCTGGAGAGGAAAGGGTTTATTCAGCTTATGCTTCCACATCACTGTTTATTACCAAAGGAAGCCAGAAGAAGAACTCAAACAGGGCAGCAACCTGGAGGCAGGAGCTGATGCAGAGGCCATGGAGGAGTCCTGCTTACTGGCTTGCTCCCTGTGGCTTGCTCAGCCTGCTGTCTTAGAGAACCAACAATGGGCGGGTGCTCCTGTCAGTCACTAATTAAGAAAATGCCCTACAGGCTTGCTACAGCTGAACCTTATGGAAGCATTTTCTCAGTTGAGGCTCTCTCCTCGCTGATGACTCTAGCTTGTTTCAAGTGGACATAAAACTAGCCAGCACAGCTGGCTGACCAGTAAGCTCCAGGCTGCCTGTGTCTGCCTCTACTTCCACAGAGCTGAGCTTATAAGCACCAACCACCATACCTGGCTATTTCTCAAGAGGTGAGTGTGGTGGTATTGTGTTCCCCAAAGCTGCAGTGGTGGAGGAGTGCAACCTGACCCAGTCCTCATAGGTTCAGGGGATCAGAGCTCAGGTACTCAGCAGGCCTGTGTGGCAAGCACGTTACCAGCCAAGCCATCTCCCCGCCCCCTTTTGGGTCTGTCTTAAGCTGACAACATAAACTTTTGCAGAAATCAAGGAATAAAAGCAGTTGGGCTATCAGACACACTGGAAAGGGGCCGTGACCTGAAAAGTTTTGCCCAATTATTACTTTAGGTTCCTTAACTTTAAATGAATTAATACAAAATGGTTAAAAGTAAAAACAAAAAATCCCTGTTAATATAAGCATCTTGATAAATAGAAAGTACCAAGATGAGTCCAAAAGATGAAATAAGTCCTATTAGACCAATATGAAAAGTTTATGTTAGAAAAGAATGGGAAGAGTAAATTTTAACTAGCATATGTTGGCCATTCTCATTTAAAAAATACTAAAATTTAAGCATGAAGAGATAAACACATATCTCAAAACACTGACTTGGTTTTATGTCTCTTCAAATTAAACATATATTGTAATTGATCTTGCTTTTATCCTAGGGTAGTTTTAGTTACTCTCTAATGTATTTGCACATTTGTGAAGTCAGTGGGCATGAACATCAGCTACACAGGAACCTCGTCAGAGTGAAGGGGTCATGTGTTCAAGGGTCCTGAGGTGACTAACACTAGTCAGGGTCCTTGGTGCGAGAATAAGACAAGCTGGAAGGCCATACGGTCCTTATGTGGGCACCTTGAGCTTCTTGTGTTCTCGAATCACACTGTAGAAGAGAGAGTGCAGAGAACGGGGCGGGGGGGGGGGGGGGGCAGTGTGGACCTTCCTGTGTGTACAAAGCACACCTGCCGCTTCCAGGCTTCACCTCAAGTTGGAGAAATGTTCCTGGGTGGGAGTGGGGGTGGGGTGAGGGAGTGTGAGCACAGAGCTCCCTGAGCACCCCCTTCCCTGACTGGGGTCATTTGCACAGGTCCACAGGGGGTCCAGTCAGGAGACAAAGCCAACACACTGCCAAGTGCCAAGAGGAAATGTGGACTAAGAGCTATAATGAGTGGGTAAGCAAAGAGCCACTGGGTCCCAGCAGAGAATGTGTCAGCGAGAGAGAACAGCAGTCCTGTTGGCTCCAGCATAGGCCAGAGCCTTAATCTGTAAATCACCAAGAAGCCCAATAAGTCAAAAAAAAATGTGGCCACCCTTGGAGCTGAGGCAGAAGGCAACAACATAAACTCCTGCAGATCTGCCGTGCCAGTATGCAGAGACAGCCAGCAAACATCCAAGTGTGTGGGGGGTAGTGGGTTGTGTGTGGGGGGGTGCGTCGCCAGGACCTAATTACATTTAATCAAGATGGCAAAAAAAATGATGAGCATGTGTTCCTTAGTCCCAAATGAAACACACACACACACACACACACACACACACACACACACACACACACACGTGCGCGCGCGCACACGCACGCACTGCTCTTAAGAGTGCCTGGCTGTACATTCTCTCATCTCCCTTTATAAGCTTACTCTAAAATTTCTGGCATGGGCCTGAAAGTCATTAGTAATTTAGCTGAAACGTAAAATTTTATGGCGGCACGTTGGTAGCTATTATGAGGTATAAATCTGTGTAGCTCTGGCAGGTTGAGTTCCCTCCTGCCACCCTCCATCACACTACCATTGAAAGCATTGAACTATGCTGGGGGTACAAGACTCACAGTTTAGAGTTAAATTAGAGACCTGAGGGCACTAAAATACTCTTTCCATTCTTTGTCCGTGCCAACCATTCCAAACTGCTTTTGTGGGCCAAATCCTACCACAGAAAATGGGGTCTTCCTCAAGAAAATGAGACTCAGTCAACTGCCCAGCAAAGCCACACAGCCCTTACAGGGAGGGCCACCAGACCCAGCTCCATCTGTTGCTTTGCCGACACTCGCTATTCTCAGTCCTGGCTCAACATTCTGGGAGAGCATCAAAGAACTGGTTCCTCACACAAATTTTAAGACAGTTTCTTTACAAAACAGAGCAAGAGAAAAATCAGAGAGAGCCATGTTTTCAGGAGAATTGTCCTATAGTCTTGGAGTTTGTTTCATAAATCTTGTTTGAAGGCTTCTAGGAATATTTAGGGTTTGAGTATAAATGTGGTTTCAACAGTCAAAGCTTTATGGTTAGGGTACAGTAGCATTCACATGGGAGATCTGAACCTTTCCCACTGGAGTGACTTAGTCGAATGCATATAGGATGAGGAATTGACACTTCAATTATTTGTCCTTGGCCTGCCCACAAAGAAGTCAGAGTCATGCTTCAGGAAATACAGGATCCAGGAGCTCGGTGTGGTGGAGTCAGCCGATAAGTGGAGCTTTGTCTTAAAAAGTCTGCAGGTATCCACAACCAACTTACCAAAGCTAAATTCATCAGATACTGAAACCCATTTGTCTACTCTGAATGGGCCTGTAAGCCCTGCAGGAGAGCTGTGAGCTGTGCACATTGATCTCTCTCTCTCTCTCTCTCTCTCTCTCTCTCTCTCTCTCTCTCTCTCTCTCTCACTCACACACACACACACAAACACACACACACACACACACACACACACACACACACACACACACACACACACACATCATGAACTGTAGGGGCATTAAAGATTCCTACCACCCCAGCAAGATGAGACATCTCAGGGGTTTTCAACATGAATTTGCTGAGGAAAGCCATGAGGGACACTAAGACGAGTGTGTGTGTGTGTGTGTGTGTGTGTGTGTGTGTGTGTGTGTGTGTGTGCGCGCATGTGTATTCATGTGCACATATGGAGGCTAGAGTACATCTGCTGTCATTATTGCTTCAAACACTGTACACCTGTATTTCTGTGGGGGTAGGGGCAGGGATCTGAGGTTCACTGGTTTGACTAGGCTGGCTGTTCAGCAAGCCCCAGGCATCTGATTGTCTTCACATCTGCTTCGCTGAGCTCCCA